AGATGCTACCTCGTTCTGTTCCTCCCATCCCGCAGCAAAACAAGTCGTTGCCTGATATGATCTGGGATGACACAGAGGTGACACCTGGTGCCGCCGCAGTCGACACGCGTATGATAAACTCTTGTCAGCAAAGCTAGGTCTGTGCTTTTAAAGGGAAGACTTTTACGTATACATACAGGCCAAATTTCTTAAATTATATTTTCAAGGTATTACCGTTTTCAATATTCTTTGTATGATTCTGACAAAATAATTTCAGTTTGTCAAAATGTAGATGTATAGCTATGCAACATTTATTATCAGTGGATTCTATTTAAAGATTATTTAAAATCTTCAAACTAGGCACCGTTTTAGGATTGTATTTTATTTTTTTGTCATTCGGAGGTTTAAAGGTTCTTACTGAAATATGCAATAATGATAACAACTCAGAGGATTTTTTTTTTGTTTTTACACTATACAACTCTTAACTACCATGGTACACAAGCTAACAGTGTTTTGGTCTGCACAGACATTTAAGTCTAACGCCTCGATAGGTAATTCGATAAAAAGTCTGAAAGCTTTGTTGATAAGTAGCTTTCTGAGTTTTTCTTCAAAGGAAAATTTTCAAACGCAACAAAATAAATGCATTTAAACTGCCTGTTTGTGACACTTTACTTTCCTTTTGTTCATTTCACACCTGGAAATTTGATGTCGTGCCAGCCACTACTACCATTGTACAGATGAAGGTAAATGGTGTCTGTGATGTCTTTTTTCTCTAGCAGCTTTCATCATCATTTAAATTTTAATGCCATTAGGGGCAATGTTACTGCAGTCTTACGCAATTCAAAAACACAGACAGACTCCAGGTTTAAAAGTGTTATATTAGCAGAGTGCTGTATGGGTGTTGATAAGACCAGTTAAGACCATGTTTGTACAGGATGCTGTACATACACGGTCTTATCTCGGGCACATGGCATGACGGCCGCCATCAATTGGCAGGTTGACTCCAGTAATGAAGCTGGCAGCATCAGACGCCAGGAAAGCAATGCTGTGGGCCACTTCTTCCACCTCGCCTGGTCGACCGAGGGCATGGGTCTGCTTACACTTATCAAGAAACTGGTGGTAAAAACATAAAACAATAAGAAAATAATGCTACACTTTTGGTTCTGTTGCTAAAAAAAGTTAAAGAAACAGATCCTCACATTTGAGATGACTTGAGTTGCATGACTGAGATTCTATACATATTTATTCAGCTGAATACAGTAAATATTACCTGGGTATACTGTTCGTCATTTAGTCCCGCTCTCTTGTGGACATCGGTGATGATCACACCAGGACTGAACAAACAAAATCAGAAATGAATTTTTTCTCCCCATCAGAGTTTTGGACAGTCAACAGCACCGAATTGAAAGCAGTTTTCACACATGGACTCTCGAAAAAGTTTGGAGAACCAGTTCAGGAGTTTGAAGTTGCCCCTTCTTTGTAGCACACAGCAGCAGGTAAATGGACTGATACTTATACAACACCTTTCTATTCAGTTGAGCACTCAAAGCACTTTCTACTGCAAGTTCCATCCACCCAATCACACACAAAATCACACAGTGCTTTCTAAGCACTTTGTAACAGTGGCGCGCACACTCGCACTCCGATGGATGCATCAGGGGTGCCTAAGAACACTTCGGCACGAGGCTGGATGAGTCAGAGATTGATCCACTGACCGTTCCAATTGGGAAATGACTTGCTGTGCCACCTGAGCCACAGCCGCCCACGGGAGTTGCTTGAGATGTCAAATTCTTTGTTTGGTTTAAACCAGGGTGCTGCATCGTTAGAGCAGGCAGGAGGCATATGATGCCCACTTTGCTTGTGCTATTTTCACTATTTTCACTTTTATCAGCACTATCCGCTGAAAATCTGAAAATGTGAAGGGCCGCACTGCACGTTTGAAAAACTTCTTATTAAAAGAAGAATGAGAAATGAATGTGATCATAAATCTGAACCTGTGCAACGATAACATGTTTATTGCACTTACCAGACAGAGTTCACTCTAACCTGCTTTGATGCCAGCTCTGAAATTTAAAAAAGTAGTTATATGATGGGCCATTCTTATATGCCAATGCAAACTTTTATATTGCTGTCCACATGAAGGTAATAAAGAGCTCACCAAGTGCTATGCAACGTGTAAACTGATCAATAGCAGCCTTGGACATGCAATAGGCCAACACACCAGGGAACTACAGAGAGAAAAATTACACTTCTTTGAAGATGCTTTATAACACATAAGTTCATAAAGATATTTCATATGGATGGTGCTGTTTAAATATTGCGTCTACATGCAGAGTACCCACTGATCTCTGTCCGTTCACACTGGATACATTGACGATGGAGCCTTTGGTCTTGATCAGGTGCGGTACACAAAGTTGGGTCAGGTGGTATATAGATCTGTAATATATGAACTAAAATTACTTTTAAAAGTCTTTGAACATTAAATACGCAGTTATGACTCATTATAATAACCAGTGCTTGGTCAGTTAACATCCTGACATCTGTGATTGGCTTCACCATTGTAGTAAAAGCAGTATCTCACCAAGGCCTACATTAATCAACAACTATATGGCTTTGTGAAACTGACACCAATACATCTCCTACATAAAGCCAGGTCTCCTACCTCACATTAACGTTCATGACCTTGTCATACTGAGCCAGGTCTGTTGTCTCGATGCTGCCCATTGCCAGTATGCCAGCACTGTTGACCAGCACATCCAGCCGGCCGAAGTGAGCGATAGTTTTCTCCACCGTGCTTTTTACAATCTCCTCATCAGTCAGGTCTCCAGGAACGAGTAGAGGCTGCATGCACACACAACCTTTCATTAAGAACTGGTTTTTAAATTAGTTATAAAGTTGACAAAAATGTATGCCTTCAACACTAAAGTAACAGTAAATACAGAACAAACTGTTTTGTTAATGGCACAAATAATGGTCAAGTAATAACAATAGTGGCACCAGCCTTAAAAACTGCTTCTTTACACTCACCAGTCACTTTGTTAGTTACAATGCAAATATCTAATTAGTCAGTCTCTGAGTATTTAGAGTATTACTAAATGCAACACATTAAACCTTGAAATAGATGGACTACCACAGCAGAAGACCACACAGGGTACCACAGCAGGTGCCATTCCTGCTGCTTTGGATGGTAGGCTCAGAATTTGGCGTAAACAACATGAAAGCACAGATCCATCCTGCATAGCATCAAAGGTTCAGGCTGCTGCTGAAGGTGTAATAGTGTTTTCTTGACACACTTTGAACATGAAAATGACTTTGCACTTTGTTCAAATGCCCTCCAAAATGACCAGAGTCCAACAGATGAGCTCTGGCATTGTGGTGAAATGGGAGATTTGTAAAATAGACATGCAGGAGACAAACCTGCAGCAGCTGTCTGACGCTATCAAGTCAATATGGACCAAAATCTCCAAAATGTTTCCTGTATGTTCTTGCATCTATGCCGTGAAGATTTAAGGCAGTTGTGAAGGCAAAAAAGCTACTAGTAAGGTGTAACTTACAAAGTATACAGTAAGTAGGTATATGCATCTCTACGCTTGTTTTTGTAATTCTGATGTAGTTACAAACACTAAAATTGTTTAATAACTTAGTTCTGCTCATTAAATTGACCTGCTGTTGGTCATTAAATTGACCACCAGGAGGTCACAGGAGGTTGTACCAACCGCTAGAAAATGTATAAAAGTATAATATTTTTATTACAGCATCCAACTTGTGTTTATTCAACTACATTATGGAAGTGTGTGCATATATATATGAAGCATACTACGTTATGTACCTCGTCGGCTCCACAGTCTGTGCATTCTTTGGCTACTTTGTTGAGGTTTTCCACATCGCGGCCGTTCAGAGCCAGCAGAGCTCCGAGTTTAGCGAACAGGACGCTCGTACCGGCTCCGATTCCCGAGCTGGCGCCAGTTATCAAGGCCACTTTCCCCTTCAGAGATGACACCTACAATGCACAGCAAAAACACTTCCAAGTCTTTCTCCGAGGTATCTTAACTTGCAGAAATAAGCCCGGATTTCGTTCATTTTTGTTGCCCTTATTAGCCAGGTCCCTCTTGGAAGTTAAATGTAACTCTCAATGAGTTTTCGCCTGGATAAAATAAATGAATAATAATAAATACATGACCAAACTCATAAATGAGCAACCTTGAAGGACTGTAAACCCACGCAAGGCAATAAACTTACTTTAAACGCATCACCTGTAGCCATGATTTCTACCAGGGTCCGCGTGACAGTTGTCCACTACTGATGACGCAATGTGACGCAATAAGTCATTTGTAGTTCAAACTAGTTCTTAGGACTACAAGATGTTAAGCGGACTCTCACGGAAAAGATGCTGCATGTAAAACATATTCTGAAAACATGCTAAAATCAAAAATGTTTTTATTATAAAAGTTTTTTTGTTTTTTTTTTAAACACGCAACATTGGCAATTTATTACATTCCCCTTTAGAGTACTTAAATAAATGGAAAGGAACCTGTTAAGGACAAAAATAATTTCAAAACTGATTTAAAGCACAGACAGTGTAAAATACGGATACATCTTCGTCTGAAAGGTGAAACGAACTTCAACCTGTATATCTTTTTAACGACCAGCAGGAGGCGACTCTTAAAGTTCCAAAAAGAGTTGCATTTACAAAGAAGTCTATGGGGAAACAATCCTCAGCTCCTTTGTTATGTAACCTCAGCAAACACTTTCCTGATAACTTTGGGTTCAACTACTAGTTTCAGGTTAACTAAGTAAATCATAATCAGTTTGTAAAATATGGTAATTTTTGCAACCAGAAACTAAGAAATTTCCATGCTATTTTCACTGGTTAACAACATATCATTCATGTGTCAGTAAGAAGTGTGTGGCCTCCTCTGGTCTCCTGTTTAGATCCACCTCCATCTTGTGACAGTCAGCTTCAAAAAACAACTTTGAAACACTTCAGAATGAGACTTCACTAACCAATGGGTGACATCATGGTGGTTACATCCATATTTTATTTTTTGTTTACAAAGTTTATTGTTTAAAGGAAACAAGACATCCCCCTGATTTATATATACTTTTTACATGAAGTTGCAAAATGAGGAACTACACCGTATAAAAGTTAAGACAATTTAACACTTTGTAGCTTTGAAGTCAGCACTCTGCCCACTGTCTGGGCATGTGAGTGGACTCTCCAGTTCTACCATTTGAAAAGTATTTCGACTTTAGCAAGGCAACAAGCATTGTATCATATGAAAGTGAAAATCTGCTATCCAGCAAAAGGATTAGCATGAATGGTGACATCCTTTATCCGAGTTTCAGTCAGTGGCCGGAACGTCTTTTCATTCACAGGCAGCTTCTCCAGCTCATCCAGTGTTTCCAAGCCGTCTATGATCCTAAATTTTAGAGGGTAAGCAGTCAGCAAATGTTTCAATTTTACCTGAGGTAACAAAGCCAGTAGGTGGTCACACAATCATAAACCTGTTTTGTTGGCTTGCATAAGATGCTTACTTTCCAAACACTGTGTACTTCATGTCCAGGTGAGGCTGTTTGGCATAAGTGAAGAAAAACTGGGAGCCATTCGTGTTGGGACCATTGTTTGCCATGGAGACCACTCCTCTTACATTATGCTGAAATCAGAAGAACGAAAAACATTCCCACAGAATGACACTTGGGTAAAACCAGCTTAAACCAACTAGCTATAGGATTTACTCACTTTTAAGTGTTCACTGAACTCATCCTCAAATTTACGCCCCCACATGCTTGTTCCTCCTTTACCTGTACCTGGAGGTTTTAATAAGAAAACAAAGATGCAATGAACAGGAAGTTCATTTTATATATTTTTTTGCCACTTCAAAAACAACAATAACATCTGTACCTGTAGGATCTCCGGTCTGAACCATGAAGCCCTTTATATTTCGGTGGAAGACGCAACCATTGTAGAAGCCGCTGGCACACAAAGCAAGAAAGTTCTGCAAAAAAAAAAACACCAGCAAAATTAAACGCAAATTCTTGTATTTGTCATGTTTTTAAATTACACTTACAAATGTTATTATTACATTTTAAAAAAATGCAATCTTAAACACCTTCATCGCCCTTAAGAATTGACTATCTTTATTTACCTGACAGAATACGATCATTTCTGAGTCTAGATTGTAAAGAACTTTATCTGCCAGAGGTGACTACATCACACCTCTTCCATCTTCATTACAGACAGTATATCTTAGAACTGAGTTTTTAAATTGAGTTTTAATGCTCTTTGTAGTCTTGTGCCATGCTGGAAAGTAATTCCGACACATCAGGTGCACACAAATCTGAATAAAGTCTGAAATCGGGTCAGTAACCTCTTAGAAATGTTCTACATCAGTTCAATTATTCATTTGATTTGATTTATCAATAATCATCATCATCATTTACACCTGCATTCAATTCAGAACTGGCACGCCTTTGGACTGTGGGAGGAATCCGATAGACCCATGCACACACACAGGACCAACATGCAAACTTCATACAGAAAGCCCCCAAATTGCATTTTAGCGTACTTTCGTACTACAACAACACAAGATCCAAGTGGGTTAGGATAAACTCCATCCCACCTACGACCCTGAATTAGTGGAAGAAAATAAATCGAGTGCTGGATCGTCTTACTTTTTCACGTAAAGATCCATAAAATGTAAGAGTTTTAAAATAAAAGGCTTGATTACTAGGGAGAGTTAGGGTGAGAAATACATTTACCTCACATGCCCTCGGTGTGCGCTCACAGAACAATTCAATTTTAATGTCTCCTAGATCTGTGTGCAGTGTAACAGCCTGCAAAATAGACAAGAACATCAAAAACATCACGAAGACAAGGAAATTCTCCCGAACTTCAACTTCCACTACTTGACTAGCTTAGCCTGCTATCGCAAAGAACTACATTATTACACAATGCTTTAAGTGACTCGTAGCCTGTTTAGAACCGTTATAACGTAATATTAGGAAACAACTTCAATTTGACAAATAGCGACTGTAAATGCGACAATGAAACTCACCATTTCAAATGTTGCGTCTGTGAACAAGTGTGTCGAAGAAACATGTCCGTGTGGGGATGGGTATCCAGCGGTGAATGGTTCCGCAAGGAATTTTTACAAACAAAACGAGAGGCGCAGACAATTGAAAAATTAAAGAAAGAAAAAAAGAGTCACTGGCACTAACAGTGAGGGGAGGGACATTTTGCTGACATGGTTTGGGCGTGGTTGTCCAGTTTCTGGAAATGGTCCTTGTAAAAAATTGTTAATGAGTGATCCCCTTTATCCTATGATGAAGGATTTTTGTAAAGGTGGGAGTGGTATCTTCCTGCATGACAATAGCTTTGCCCATGAGGGCATAATGGGTCAGTCACTAATGGCTCAGTCACACTAAAGTACAAATAGGATAGCCTAGTCATTGTGACAAGGAAATTTCAATTTGTAGGTTTGGTCATGCCACTGTCTCCAACCTCTGTTTGAATGTGTGTGACTGTAGCATGATATGGGTCTTTGCAGCCAGTTGAACACCTACAGTATGACAGATGTTATACTGGTATATATCAACCAGTGCCAGGGGTTCCATAGTGTGGTGGTTTACACATTTGCACACTGGTCAGTATCTGTATCTGCACACTTGCACATCAAGCTAAACCTTTATGTAATTGTTTAACCCTTCTTGTGCAAAAAGCCCAACAGACACCAAGACAAATGTGGCTTACTTCATTTTTTTTAATTTTACTGGAGTCAGTGGTGTACAAGAAATGAAGAGAAACATGTTCAAACACACTCAACGTCAGTACTGATGCATTGATGATGTTCCTTTGGCAAAAAACAAAACAAAACTGCACAAAACCAAGTGTGTCAAGATAACACGTCTGAGAGAAACAGAGAAAGATGCAAAATTATTTTGTACCCAAATTAAACATTTTAAGAGGAAAAAAGACAAATTAAAAATAGAAAACAGAAACCAAAGGGTAAAGAAGTCCCATTAATCAGACAAACTACTTGGGCTTTATCTATTGCTCACAATAAAGACAATTCAGACATGAGATGTTTGACAAAAACACAAGCAAGGTCAAATAAAGTGGTTTCTCCTTGATAATACAGATACACTTAGTTTCAATTCAGCAGTTAATATTAAATACACAAAACTAAAAAATAATGTATAGAAATTTGATATAAAAATGTTATCACAACCGTTTAAATTATTAACAGAAATAATAATAAAAAAATAATACCGTAATAATAATAATAATAGGCAATCAACTAAAAAAAAGTGAGTACTGGCTGCTTTCCTGAGAAATTTAGTTCTACAATAATCCTAACAGATATCAAAATTAAAATAATAAAATTAATCTAATAATAAAAATGAAAAAAGGAAAGATTAACAGTGACTAAGACAAAAACATGTTTATTTAATGTTACTACACTATGCACTGACCACTACAGTACTGATTGCAACAAATCACTCAGAGGTGATGACATGATGTCTCTTTTAAATGGAATAGTCGATTGTCTTACTAAATAGGTGTATTGCTAATGTGTTTGTGGGTGTCATTCAAAATGCTCCACTGAAGACCAAAATTAATCTCTTTTTTTCCTTTTTAATATTTCTATGTAAAAGCGTAAACTTAAATTTAATCTCGTGGCTGGCAGTCATTCAGGTAAACCTTCCCACACTGGAAAATGCCCAAAACAGGTTTTTCTATGTGCATACAATAACTTGTACACTATTGTTTGCAACACCTAAAAGTAAGTTCTGAGAGAAGTGCTATAGTGCAAAAGCATCCTTTAAGCACAACGATCTCTAATCTACTTAATGTGAAAATCTCACCATGTCTTTAGTAAAACCAATGTGACAAAATGAATACAAATGCACATTAGAAATCTATATCGTTACTAACAATACAGCTTAAATAAATGTAATACTGCACAACATAGCATAGTCAAACATGTCACGGTTATAGATGCGCATAGCTGAAATGTTTTCTATTATGTATATTGCTTCAGTCAATCTTTATTAGAACAGGAATTGTATTTTTCTTGGGGTAAATACAAGAATTCCTGTTGTGTGTTGTGCTGCATCAGAACTGTGGATCAATAACAAATTCCAAATTTTTAGCTTTGTCTTGGTCACTGTGTCAAAACAAAAATACAGAACAGTCACTCTCAATTGAGCAAAAACAAGTAAACCTTTACCTAAAAAAATCTCTCATTCTTAATTAAAAACTAGTGAAGGTTAAATATGCTTTTAACTGTGAGAAATAAAGTTCATATTTTGAGAAAAAGAATGCACTGGGAACTTCCAATTAAGTCTGATTATTGATTTAAAAAACAAAACAAAAAAACATATCTTTTCTTTTTCTTACATCTGGTACTAAAACAAAGACGGGTATAAAAACAAACAAATAAAACCCTTCCCCAAAACCCAGAACGTCAATGACAAAGTAGCTTATCTGACACCCGATCCATCACAACTCAGAGGTTATTGCCCATAAAACAACAAATGACCTTGATCTTGAGCATAATTTAGATGATGATTCATTGGGTTATTGTGTGTGCAAGCTTGATTATATTGTGACTAATACTGTCTTTTGAATGAACAATGCACCATGGATGCCTGGCATAAGCTCAATGGTCTTTTGGACAGATGAGCTTTAAAAAAAAAAATTAAAAAAAAAATCAAATCAAATAAATAAATAATAATAAAACATTAATAATAAACTACACTTTGTGCATCTTCAGTAACCAAAATCTAAACTCAACAGCTAGGTACAGCCTTGTAGAAGTTTTACCGGACAGCTTAAATTAAGGAAACTATGACAACAAAAGCTCCATCACTATCTGGGGCTTATTATTATGGTGCACTTTGAAAAACTAACAATTTTCATCTGACCAGACAACAGAAATATAACAATCAATGCATGACAACGAGAGGAGAAAATAAGGCAACTAATCTGATCAACTTGTAAGATTTACTTCATTTTCTTTTCATTTAATTGGAATGCAGGTTGATTCTGTAGCAGTAAAATTTCAAATTTCTTTACTACTAGCTTTTTAATATCAGCAGAAAACAGTAAAAGAGACTTTTATCCTCACCTCAGTGAGTAATATGTAACATTTCCAACATTTAACATTTAGGATGTGTGTTTTCTCACACATAGGTGAGCAGCTTCTTCACTGAACATTGCACACTAATGCAGTCCAGTAATAATAAAGTAACAGAATTTGAGTATAGTAACAAACTAAAATGAACATGAGGCTAGGTGCTTAAAAAATACATTTAAAGACATGATGACATGTCTGGTCTTTCTTATTTGTAGCTATTGAGCTATCATTGCTTATCACCAGTGATTCTTTTTACATCTGTTACAAAAAAAAAGAAGCCCCAATCTCATTTAAGCCTCTACGTTTTGACAGACATATTACAAATACTTTCAGGCTCCATTTGAATTTCACCACTGTCATTCTGTATAAACTTAATCTGAATTCCTGTGAGGCAGACATGACTCATCTCATTCAAAATCTTTAAGCATTCCCCCGCATTTTATTTTGTTATGTGCAAGTTATTGCAAACATATCATATACTTTTTTTGTGAAAATGTTATTTTCCATTAAAGATATACTAGCAGTAAGGTTTGGGTATTCTGATAAGCTTCACTAATGCCATTTTAATGCTAGTGCAATAAGTGATATGCAGCAGAATAATTGCTTTTCCTTTAGCACTAGGTCAAACACACATCTTTCCCTAGAAAGAGGGAACCGAACCCTACATTCTGCCAAATTGTCCATTCTAGTATCAAAAGACGATCAGCCAACCAACCAACAAAAAGCCCTTTAGCGCTACAATACTAACAGTGTCCTCAATGGCCTCCTTCTTCCCACTTTGTAAACCACCTTTAGGTACAAGGCTCTCAGTATAATCATATTCCACTCATCTATAGTTATTACTGTTTTGTTAAGTCATACTATCATATCACTCTTAATAGTGTCTTTGTAACTCAAAACAAGTGATTATCGTCTATATACAGAAATAAAGATGTCTTGGAAGTAATTTTGCCATCTCATTGTGCCTTCAAACCGGAACACCTGACAAGATATTTTAACGTATTAAACCTTATTTTTTTTAGTATTGATCAGTGGCATACACTGTCTTCTATACCATAATCGAGAGGCATAAAAATGTAAACACAAGATTCAAACTATATTATTGCTAAAAAAGCATCATTACTGAATTATAATGTAAAGGCCTGAGAAGTTTTTTGTGAAGGAATTAATAAATCAAATAGACTAAGAAGACAGCCAGAAACTGCCAGGATTTTGGTTCTACCTGGCACTGGTTCTTGATGCCCAAACTTAGAAACGGCACAATGCAGCAGGAATACTGCCTGTTATGGCAAGCCTCTGGGACCAACTTGTAGGTCCAGAGCCAGTAGATCAGTATCTGTACTTGCAGAAGCAAACCTGTTTTTTAAACTTGTTCTTTGTCCGCTTTCCACAACTGCTCCTTGACCTCTGTGGGCAGTGTGTTGAACAAGTCCTCTTCCACCACAAGACCAGTTCTCTTCAACTGTCGGCACTCTCCAAGTTCCACCGGCAGACACTCTAGGCGATTTCCTCTAAGCTCTAGTTGTGTCAATGCAGTCAACTCTCCAAATCGTGATGGTAGAGACTGCAGGCAATTGTTTCCCAAGTTCAAAGTGCGAAGCTTCTTGCACTGGAACAGTTCATTAGGCAGGTTCTCGATCTGTATTTTAAAGAACAAGGAATTTTGCATTGGGAAAAAAAAGGAAAGAAATTATGACTTGTAAGTTCATTTATTGTTTTATCAGCAAATAAACAATACAAATAAAGCATTATGGATAAACTCCAATCTATAATTAGGATAATATTAAAATGGTTGGAAACTATGCTTATTACATCACTTACCCTATTGGCTGTCACTGCCAGGTATTGAAGATTTTGGAGGAAGCCAATATCTGTTGGGATATAGGTTAGGTTGTTATGGCTCAAATCCAAGATGCGCAGCTTGCGGCAATAGAACAGCTGACTGGGGATCTTCTCAATCTTGTTTCTGTTCAGGTACAGCTTCTCCAGGTTGTTCAGGGTGCCAATCTGAATAGGAATGTAGGCAATCTGGTTGTACCAGAGCTTAAGGCAGACCAACCGATGAAGATGCTGGAAGCTTAT